TATATACATTTATATATTTAAAACCATTTACAAGGAACAAACCTTTTAAAATTTAAAGCCATCACCTCTTCTATGTATGATAAAAGTTTTATTTGTTTGTTGATGTTAACTTTTGTGAAGAAAAACCACAATTATAAAAATGCAAAACTGGAAATAAAGCCTAAAACAAGCACAGTTACAAACTATTTCTACTGTAGTGTTATCCCAAACTATTAAGTTCTTTTCTTTTTTTAATGTCATATTAGTTTTAATAAATATGATTTTGGAGAGAAAACTAAAGTACCTGGAGAAAACCCACTCATGCACAGGGAGAATATGTAGACACAACCCAGGAAGTTGATCCAGCAATCTTCTTCCTTACAGGCTTTATGTTGCTCTACCAACTGTGCCACTGTACTGCCTAATTTTATATTTATTATATAATTATTTAAATTATTTAATTAATTTTTGATTAAAAATATATCTATGAACACAACCTCCTGAGAATCTCCATCTTTTTTTGAGAACACTGGTTGTAGACTGGTCTGGTTGTCCTTATTCAGAGGAGCTACATTTTAATTTTATTTATATTTTTTATTTTAAATAAAATATAAATTAATGTTTTTAACTCTTAATTGTTAAAAAAAATCAATGTTTTTTTTTTATATTTTTGAGGTTCTATTCCTTAAATAGGTGGGGGAATTGAAAAAGGAAAAACCTGGGTACTTAGGGGGCCTGAGAATTTGAGCAAACTTGACTTTTATGACAAAATTAAGAAAAAAAAAAAACAAACAACAACAACATATTGCACCAACCAGGAATAAAACTTAACCTAACTTTAATTTTTTGGGGGGAACTTGAAAGTTGACCAGTATAAATAAGTTTGACCCCTGTTTGATTTGCGTGTGTCAGTCATCTGTGTTGTGTTTAAAAAAAAACGCACCTCTTGTTTTTTTTTTYCCCCCTCCTCCTCGGCACAACACCGGGCGACGAGCGCACGAGACGGATCCAAACGGGGTGTTTTTAAGACCCAGCGGAGCTCGTGAGGGAAACCCCGCGGCTTTAGTTGTTTCTACTCTCCCGAGTGTCAGCTAGTTATTTGTGGGGAGGCGCTGTAGCCATTTCGCCACATAAAAAGCATGATGAGCTGAACGGGCCAACATCCGAGTTGTTGGTGGGAGAAGAGAAACCAGCTTTGAGGAGCTCCGCGCGCGCGCGCGCACAACACCAAAAACCTGCGCGTGAGCACGCACGGGCGCACGCACACACTTCCTCCTCGTCCTCCGTGGAAAAAAAAAGAGGGAGAGAGAGAGAGGGTACACGAACTTCCAACTCTCCCATGTGGAAAGCAGAGGTTTGAAGATAAGGTGTATTTTTCCTCCTCGCAGCTCTCCCTCTCTTTCTCCCTCTCAGTGTTATTTTATTTTTAATTTTTTTCCCCTTGCTCTTTGCCCGGATAATTGTGCTTCTATGAGCGTCTTTCTTGGCGAGAAGAGAAGTTTGGTTGTTTGCCTRGTCGGCTGAGGAGGCGGAGGAGGAGAAAAAGAAGAAGAGTCGGGTTAAAAGTAGGAGAAGATGGTCCACAACGCCGCCTGGAGAAGGAGCTTTCTTTGCGTCCTGGTGCTCAGTCTCGGCTTCGCGTCCCCGCCGTGCAAAGCTCGGATTTACACCAACCACTGGGCGGTCAGGATAGCCGGGGGACCCGAGGTGGCCGAGCAGATAGCGCAGAAATATGGCTATAGGAACATGGGACAGGTAAGTCACTGTTGTTGACAAAAAAGTTACTGCTCGTTTGTGTTYATTTGTCCTTCACCGGTCCGGACTTTAGACCCGACCTGAGCTCGCGGACCCTCTGCTCCGTGGCTCTCTGTGACCCTGCAGGGAAACAAAGACGTGGCTGGGAGCAGGATGGCACAACAGGTGCTTCTCTCCTCTGGGTTTCCACAGAGACAGCTTTGGGACACCGTGAACTCACCATCAGCCTCACAGCTGTCCCCTGGGTTTGGTGTCAGATCAGGGACTTCTGAAGACGACCTGAAACAGGTTCCCCTCTCTGACACATCTACAGCTTCAGCTGAAGGATTTCAATCAGAGTCTCCCCTTTTCTTCTTTAGTGGTGTGCATCTGTAACATCATGCTCACATGATTTGACAAGTTTCCCAGTTTTGACAGAACATTCTCAAGAAAGATTGTGAAATAAATGACTCACATTCCTGTGAAAGTAACTTTATATGGTGGCTTGTTTACAGTTATGATCCTACAGCCTCGGGCCCTACAGCACTCATGGGATTTGTCACCTCAGGCTAAAAAGCTAGGGCCTTTTGCTTATTATCCTACTTGAAAATGACTTTCAAGCACGTGGACGAGAGGAGAGCTTACCAGGTTTTCGTGGAAATATGTTTTGACCGAGTGCACAGGACCGTGATGTGCAATCAAAAGAAAGGAGCCGCATGAAACTACACACACGTACTCAAAGTACAACTAACATACATGGTTCATGCCTGCACTTGCCAGCGTTCAGTGTGCAGACAGCTCCGAACATGGAGAGGGAGGGGGCATTCTGACAGGTTGTTGTGGGGTAGCCTAGTCAACAGCTATTGAACCCCCTCACCCCTCCACTTCCACCTTACCCAGCCTGCCCACCCACCAAACTCCCCCAGAGAGCAGGCCTTAATGGCCTCGTTTATCCCTTCCCTTTGACAGCAGCTAATGTGCGGATCCCCCTCGCCCCTTAAATACACCCCCCCCTCCACCCACCCATAGGAATTCCCTCGTAGAGTGTCGCCCCCAACCCCCACGTTCGCCCTAATTTCCATTTCAATATGTAGCGTTCATTGGACTTTGACACCTCATACATAGACAAGAGTTTTGCTTCACTTCCTGGTTTGAGGGGTCACTCCCATGGGAGTGTTAACAGCACACTCTGGTTAATGTGAACTCTGTCATCAACTCCCCACCCTGCTAATCAGCGCMGCACTTGTGTTTATAGACAAATTCATTTTTTCAAGGGTTTTAAAGTTATTTTTGTTTATTTTGAACATGAGACGAGAATATATATATGTATATATTTTTAAGMGTGTAAGAAATTAAAGTGAGAGAAAAGGGAGAGGGAGGAAAATGATGCAGAACAGGGACAACATAGTCGTCTTGACGGGGTTGGGAAAAGGAAAAATCGGACAAAGATGAGCACACACTGGGAGATGCTAGAATGAAGGAGTGAAAGAAGGGACGATGGACGGATGAAATAAGTTGGCATGGAGTACTAGAGCACCTCGTTGGGGAATTCTGGGTAATCCTCTTAACCATGGAGCCCCCTTCCCAGACTAAGACACTGGCCCACATTGAGTCTAAATCAGCTGACAAGGCCCCAGACGTTGGTATCTGTCCAAATTGGTGTTTTTGAAGGGATGGGAGAGGATGTGGGACTCATTGAGAGCTACTGGTCGTAATCTGGAGCCAGTCGTGAATGGTAAACACTTGGATCAATAACAGTTTGAGAGATTATTTGTACAGTTTGGGTTGATGTGAAACTTCGTATTATTTTTCGAGCTAAATGTACAAGGTTTGGGTAAAGACACAATCAAATTTAAGAGAAAAAGCTACAAAAAATGCAAGAATATACAAAAGTGCAGAAAATTATAAAACAACTACCTAGAAAAACAGCTGTATAAAATCAAAAATGCAACATTTCATAAAATGTAAACCGAAGCTCCAAACATTGCAACAACTTGCAAAACTAGACAAACATACAAAAAGCATTTTAGAAACCAGAGAATATAAACGCAAGCATGAAAAATTGTTAGCAAATTGATCATTTCCTAAATTCCCTTTTGTTAATATATTGTCTTGTTGTGTTCTCAGACGCTTTAGTTCCTTAAATGTTATTTTTTATATATTTTGGGAATGTTATGATTTCTAAAAATCTTATGTTCTCTGTTTTTTGTGTTTTTACACCCTAGATCAGGGCTATTCAACTAAATTGCTCCGGGGGCCACAGTTACTGCAGGCCAACAGCTGAGGGGCCGAACATCCAGCAATTAAAGTCATTATGTAAATAAACCAAGTATTACAAAGATCTGTCACCTTTGAAGTAGTTTATTTTACTGTATTTAATCATAATACAAAATACAGAACCCCATGTAAAAGTAGTGATAGTTAAACAACAAAAACAAAAATAACACATTATGCCTCATATTTAACACACACATTATTTTGACATCTCTGACTTGCCAACTTTTTAAACCAATTTTATTTTCACTTCGGTAGTTTAATTTTCAACTGTTTGTAATTTTAACTGTCTTGAGTGTTCATAGAAATTGTTTTTTACCAGCTTGTAGCCAAGATTCTGCCGTTTCTGTAGATACCAATCATGTCTATGTTAAACTAAAAGAACCTAAAGTAATTAAAGTAGAAAACCGGGGGTTTGAGCTTAAGAGATGAATGAACCGATTGGCGGGCCGAACTTTGGTCACTCATGGGCCGGATGTGGCCCACAGGCCACCAGTTGAATAGCCCTGCCCTAGACCTATCTTTGCTATCTTAATCAAGTTAACGTCACATAGGTGCAGACATTGCAGGGTTTTATAATAAGTTAAAAATACATTGTATAAATTATGCACACTTCTTTTAACACTTTACTTTATAGAGCCCTGCAGAGTGTGTTTTTTTTCAAATTGTTGTTTGATATAAACAGACGAGACCAGAGAAACAAAACATCCTAAACAAACGATGTACGAGTGTTTCAGTCCCATATTAACTCCCACAAGTTTCCATTTAGCCAGTTTTCCTGCAGAAGTTGTAATTCATGTTGGATTTGGATAACATCTGTAGACTGTAAAAGTGCCTGCATATGTCTGTGATGGCTTGTGCTCATAACTACGATAACAACTCCAGCCCTTGTGCTATAATGAAGGATCAAAGGTAGGAGATAAAGACATTTTGCTGTGATAAAGGTTGTAAAAAGCAAAGCTTACTTGTTACTTTAGTTATTGGTGTGTAAGTTGATGAATTTGTGTCTGAAAAGTAGTTGAAATCTGATCTAATGGGTTCTGTGGCGTTGGATCAGCGATGCGTCACTGGACTCCTGGCAGCCATGACAGTTTGATCATCTGAGGGATTGAATGGTCTTAATCAATTATTAAAACTAATCGCCGTCCAGCAGCTTACTGTCTGTCTGTCATCGTTTGTCCTCATTTTCTCTGTCATGGAAAGGCTTTGATTGTGTTTCTGTATGTTTGACTGGTTTCCAGTCTTAATCTCTTTTAGCTTAACTTTTTTTATTCCCACATTTTGTCTTCTGGTTTCAAGAAACAAGAAATATTTGTGCATAGAAAATGATCAGTTATAACAAACTTTTTAAATAATTAGGGGTGCACAGATAAACCAACCCTAATTTTCTTAATTTTGGGTGATCGGATGATCTTATCCACCTCCGCAAAGGTCTGAAAATCAGCCACTCTCTCCTTTGCCTCTGCTGTGAGAGAGGGCTGTTGTCCAGTTAAAACAAGTTTGTATTGTTTCAAGGGTTTTGTTCAATGTTTTTCAATAAAATAAGGTAGGAACGTTTAAGGTGTTTTGTGACCTTAACACCTGACAGTGTCAGTTATAAAATAAATGGGGATCGGCCAAAATCGGAATCAGGTCAGGCTTTTTAAAGATCAGTGATCGGCCAGAAAACTGCAATTGCTCCAGCCCTTCAAATAATGTTTATTCATAATTCATGATCAGTCTTACTGTACATTTACTTTGCAGCACAACATCAAACACACAGTGACATGGTTATACTGAGAGCTAAATATCCTTATTTTATCTTCATTATTTATTTTCATATTTTGCAGATTGGGGACCTCAAAGACCACTATCACTTCTACCACAGTCGGACAATCAAGAGATCAACKTCGTCCAGCCGTGGTCGCCACAGTTTCATCTCCATGGAGCCCAAGGTGAGGTTTTCTGCGCAGTTTGAAAATGATTGTCTTCCTACTGCGGTTCTTGTTTATTTTATTGTAGTTATCCCTGGATTTAATTGCTCAGTTCTGTTGGATATGACTCAAAGAGCATTACCTGACTCATGTATGATATCATGTGATCAAACTGGCATTTGGAGACACAGTGGAKGAAACTCCATCTGGTAATGATGATCACGAGCAGGTGGTCCTGGAGTTTCAATGGGTTCATTAAAAATCAGGATGTGTGGTTATATTTTTAAGTGTTTTTGGCAGATTGGCAGATGAGCTATTTTAGCAACGCTTTTTTTTTTAAATCAGAAAATATTTATTTTTTTCTTCTTTGTATGTTCACATTTTTTATTTAGGTTAACTGGCCACAGGAAGTCCTGGTTACAAACTGACTGACTTAATGTTTTTCTGTTGTGATTGTACAATTTATAGTGCAATCCAATAAATTTCATGTATTAAACATAAGATGGGCAATGACTGGAAAACAATCCAAAATGCAGAAAAAAAGTCAAACTCATCTTCTTGCTTGTTTATAACCTTTTATAGAGATATCCTGGATTTTTTTCCCCCACAAAGTGAAGTTTGCACTAATTCACGTACATTAGAGAGAAGTCAGAAGAATCTCAGTTTGGAAAAACAGGGAGAATTTCTAATAGAGGAATCAAGCTAACAGTTAGTTATACAGGGACTTGTTTTAGAGTGCATTTCTGCCATCTAACATCTCAAACCTCAAAAAATATGTTTTAGATTTACTCAAATGCAACAGTATTTAAAAAAATACATTTACACAGCATCACCTTTTGTATCAGACAGCTGTTTACAGTGAGAATTGGTTGAGCTGACCTTCAGTCTGCCGCAAAATATGTTGTGTGAAATGCAAAATAAATAAATAAATAAAAAAAAAGCCCATATCAAACCTTTCTGCCAAACTGCTGTAATTTTTTTGAGAACTGTGTAGCTTTGGCAGATTTTTGGCTGCATTGTAAACAAAGTCTCACTTTCTAAGCACTCTAAATTTGACCAAATACCCTGGTCTCGCTGCTAAATCTAACCAGTTATTAAAAGCACATAACTGGACGTATGTCAGTAATGTTATGTCTAAATGTTTGCATTAGGAGTTATTAAGTAAATGACTTCAAATTGCTTTTAAAAAATAAGACTTTTTGGGGTACTTGTGCCTTCTTCATGTGCAAAACTTTTTTTTCTTGTCATCTTTGTTTTTGTTGTGTTTATGTTTGCCTTTTTAATGAAGATGGTTGTCGTACTAAATGTGATTTTTGAGAAGACAAGACGCATGAATGCATGCTGATTCCTGATGAATGGTAATGAATATATGACAGCAGCTTAACAACAGGGTGAAATGAGTAGAGGTGAACAGGAAGAGCAAGTTAAAGAAACACCACCTGTCAACCTTTGTTATTCACTTATGACTTTTGGTCTTGTGTTGTTTTTCTTTACTTTTTGTTTCTTTTCTTTTCTTTTGTGGCTTGCAAGTTCTTTTATCTTAACCTGTCTTCTCTATGTTTTACCTGCCTAGTCTCTCTTCTTATTTCTTCACTGATTCTTGCTKTAAGTGCACACACCTCCCTCTCTGTGTCTTGGGTGCTCTTGCCCTCTTGCCCCTGACACTGTGCCCTGATGGAGGAAAGGTTTGTGTGTTGATGCCAGCTGGCTGGAAGTGTGAGATTTCAGAAAATTGGATCAAAAAGAGAAGAGAGCCAYTCGAAAAGAGAGCCATTACAACTATTTAAGGATCAGGGAGAAATGGAAGAAATGTGAATTAAGAAAATCAAATAAAAGAGTAGAAGAAGTGGAGTTTTTACGTTCGTGTCCTTTTAGCCGTGGACTGGTCTGTGGCTTTAGGGTCAAGATGATGGCTAGTTTAGCTCCAGCTCAGGCTGGCAAACTGCTAATGATGTTGTGCAATCCGGTTCTGTGATGACAGACGTTCGTGTTTTGCGTCTGTGTGACTCAGAGGGTTTTAGCATGAAAGGCGCACCCTGCTATCTACTGTATTTAATGGCACACATGTTTCCATGGAAATACAGCACAGCATAGATTACTGGTTCATGGCATTAGCCTAACCACCGTGTCACCTACCCTTCAGGTCAAGGAACATTTTCTTTTTCAGCTGGTAGAATGTCCGTGCACTGATTTCTCTTCTTTCTCAATAATTAAAAAAATAATAATTCAGCAACTGGTATATTGCAAAAGTTTTTGCTCTTTTAGTCATGATAATTTTTAGGGATGCACGATAACTTGTTTTAAGAACCGATACCGATAACCGATAACATGCCGAGATAAGACTAGTCCAAAATGGGTAAGATCATAAGATAAACAACACTAAAACCAAATGACACTGTAAATTATACAATTTGAAATAAACTCTTAGCAAACAAACATTTATTAAAGAATATCAAACAAAACAATTTCTCAAATGGCCCTCTTTTTAAATAAAGGACATTAATTATAAAAAAGACCTTTAACACTGATCTCAGATTTAAACAAAAAAGAAAAAGTCATTCCACAAGTTCAAAACAGATAATGCACTAACACTAGTTAGATTCAAAGTACATTTGTTTTTATTGTTATTAATATATGATTTAAAATATTTTTCTACCTGAAACAGTGCTTCTGAGAGTGTGAATGCATTACGACTGCATCATACTTACAGGAAGACACACAGAGGCAGCGGCTATTCAGCATGGTAAACCGTGTCTAAAAAGGAGATAAAAGCTTCAGTCTTTAGTGAAGGTGAACGGCTGCTTGTCAAGCTCCATCGTTTCAATTGTTAGTGCTTGAGATTGGCGTCCTCTCTGGTAATTTTATTGGATTTGTCAAAAGCATCAGAAATGATTTAAGTCCCGATCTTGAACGCTAGCTTGTTGTTGTTAACATTTTAGCAGACAGACTTTGTGCTGCGTTCAGGAGGTAACAGACATTACATGTTCTAAAATTGGGAGATGTTTCGATTTTTATAATTATAAAGTTTGTGTGTATGATACATGGTTAATTGGTAAAATAATATAAATAATTCTTAAAATGACTGGTTGTTTTTCAGCACAGAGTATTCTAATTATTGTTCTAGTGAGAAAGTTGTTTTTTTCTGACGCAACTTGAACGTTGCTCGGGTCGTGTCGGACGGGATGCGGCTTGACCAAAACGGATAAAAATAAAGCAGCGCTGGCAAACTTGTACATATATTATCGGTTCTGTTTGTTATGATAATGGACCGATAAGTATGACGTCATAATTCCCAGATATCAGGCCGATAACTGTCATGCACCCCCTAATCATTTTTATAGATTAGGTCATGCAAAGATGAACTCACTCACTTTTAGTGTTTGTGTCAAATCTTCTTAAATCAAACAGATTTTTTTTACATTGCTTGGAAAAATTGTTACACACATTCTTGCTAATTGCTTTCGTCATTGTCCGTTGTAAATTCCTTGCATATTTTGCATAAGTCTGAACAAGAACACAGCTAAAACTACACCTTTATTGCTACAGTGGTAAATGATAAAATTCAGTGGGTATTTTGGCTCAAAGCAACTGAGAGTTTCAGCAGAGGGCAGGCAGAGCCATACACAGCTTCAGAGTTATAGTAGAAATATTAGTATTCAATCAGAAGCGAGCAATTTCATAGCTAGACCTGCCCAGAAGAGAAATTGAATTGTCTCTGTTGTTGGCCGATAGCATTGTATTTTTACCTGGTGACAAATCAGGAATGCCCACTGGAAGTATTATTGCATCTTTGAATCAAAGATAAACTGGTCATGATTTGTTTGCCAAAGGTCATGGTCTTCTAAACCTGATAAAGCAGCACAAACAACCGTGTGTGCTCACTCCTCAGATCTATTTAGAAGCGCCCGTTCACCCCACAGACATGTTACTGTACACCAGAGAAAGTCGTCTTTGCAGTTACTAATGTACAAGTAAAAATGGCTCAAGACTCTGCTAACCACAGAAACAGCCTAAATACATACGATAAAACATACAYGTCTGTGACCTCTTCTACTCTGTAAGTAATCATTTTTCATACAGAGTTCTGTCAAGACACTGGAGACTGAGCTTGTAAAGTGAACTTATTCAACCAAAGTCATAGATTTAAGCTGCTACTCAGTTTGTAGACATACTACTGTGAGTCAAATCTTTCTACACTAATCAATGTTTGCTTCTTCTCACACACGTCTGGCTCTTTGTTTACACTTTTGAGGGTGTAGATACACTGCCCTGCCAAAAAAAGTCACCACATGGATTTAACTAGGTGCTATGATGTGGGGTTGCTGCAGTTGGTCAGGTTTAGGTTCAGCAACAGTTTGTGCCATTGATCTATGTTACTGGATTGGACATCGCCTATAGCCGCTATAGCTAGCGACGCGCCGTCATAGGAGCCATTGCTATGCATTGAGTCATGTCAACAAAACGGTAGAATTTCAATGCGGGATGCGCGTCAATCTGTCACAAAAATATTCATAACACCCTCATTTCTTATCTGATTTCTATAAAATATGGCTGAAATTAAAGTTGATAAAATTGCCAATGTTGTGATAAAAATAATGTATTTGTCAAGAGATAAATCTATAAGCAGTCTGGGAACTTTTCATTATAGGTTTTTGCTAACGTATTTACAGTAGAAGCCCCTTTCCATCACATAAAGACAAATTTGCTGTTCCAAAAAATTATTATATTTTTTATTAATATTGTTATTATGGATATATTGAATGACCAGGTTATTCCATCAATGGATTGTTTCTTCCGTAATAGCACGGGCATATTTCAAGATGACAATGCCAGGATTCATCGGGCTTGAATTGTGAAAGAGTGGTTCAGGGAGCWTGAGACATCACTTTCACACATGGATTGGCTCCACAGAGTTCATTGAGAAGCTTTGAGATGTGCTGAGAAGGTTTTGTGTAGCGGTCAGACTCTGCCATCTTCAATGCAAGATCTTAGTGCAAACTTAATGCAACACTGGACGGAAA